AATCGAAATCTAATAGCATGCCATACTTACCTGACGATTAGGATCTTGACTATCGTTGGGCTAATGAAAGTGACTCGGCACGAAGATCGAACGAATGCTCGTCAATTTCTCGCAGCAGGCGGTGAGTCGGAAGTATAAATGGTTACATACTGATACATAGTGTGTTCGTTGAAAATAAGTGTTTGTCCGTCATATTTGCAAAACTTTATTACATATTTTGTAGATAATTCTGATCTAGGATTTTTCAAATAAATCATTAGCTGTACGTATTCATTAGTTCTTATCTTGAAGTAAAAATGGTTCTTTACGTAAATCGTGTTTTTAAGACGGAAGAAACGCGTGTGTATATGTAGAGACAACTACTTGCAAGTAATAGCGTAGGCATAAAAAAAAGTAATGGAATAATGTTTCTCCATTGTTTTCAAGTTGTTTTTCTCAATGAATTTAATTTAAGTCTTCGATTACGTCATAACGTGGCTTAGTTCCCCCAAAAGGAAGGTTGCTTTCTGATTTATAGGGAAAGGAAATAAGATACTGTCAGGCATTCTTCCTCTCCGAAGGCTTTCCGTAATCTGTTACGTAATGGGTTTCGTGGAAACGTTTATCTAGTAGAAAAATATGCATCGGTCAATGCCGAAGCAGCCGTTATTCGTACATCAGCCTAATAATTCTGTTTGTTCCAGGCGGACGACGCGACTGGCGACTGACTCACGCACTCGCGACTTGCGGCGCAACCCAGATCCGATTTTATCTTCGTGCTGTAACACGCCGTGCACCGTGCCATTACGTAGCCCGAGAAAAACAACTTGTCATCGTGCGTCTTACGTCGCGCTACTCTTGTACGCTCGTAGAAAATTATTATCTTTCCGCTCTCTCATGAATGGATTCCGTTCGCTCTCTCTCGAGGCAACGAGAGAAAGTGCGCGAAAATCACTCGTCGAATTGAAACGCGGCGATCGCGATTTCATCAGCATCTTGAGGGAAGTCACGAAGATCGGATTTAGAAACACATACTTTGAGCGGCACAATGTTCGGCTCTTCTATTTTTTTCTCCCTTCTCTGCCCGTCCACACATCACAAGAAATTGGAATAATTATGAAGATTTATATGAATATGGTAATTTCAATAATATAAAAATTTCATAAGTAGAAATAAAATGGAAATTGTAATTGTACGCTAAAAATATTTACATCAATGAGACTGCGGTTACTTCTTTGTTGTATTTTTTTATGCCTTAAGGCTTAAGCGAACGCACGTCTTCTTCTTCATCAGACCCCGAAGGCCCATGCTGATCACGAGGAAAGTCAAGAAAATGCACGCCTCATGATGTCAACGGGGTCGCTATTTGCGTGCAAATCGCACGCACGTGCATTCGTTGTGCATACGCGAACTCTTTCCTCCCGCATAATTAATGCCTTCGCCTGGGGGGAATGAAAGGTAGCGCCAACTAAGTAACGTCGCGAATCGAAAACTTTGTCGAGGCTTCTTGCGTCGCAATTGGGCTCCGACTGCTCCGAGAGAGAAGTGAAGGCGTGAAGCAACGCGACGTGTAGCAATCGGAGCACGCTGAGATATACAAGATAAATGGAAAGTCTTAACGACGCAATTGGAAGTGCGAAACTGCGCAAAACCAACATTGGCCGTAATTCGAAGGCGATGCAGCACATCGCGGAAGAAGGCGCGCGAAACCGGCTGACGTAAATCGAGATTTTACTCGTGTGTGAACCGCACGTTTAATCACATATGCAAGTTGAGCAAAAATTAAAATAATCCCCCGTTCGCCTGTGTGTCGAATCGCAAATACGCCACTCGCGCAAATTCTTTACGCATCAAGACACGGCATATCGCTCGGGTAAATTACAACTTGCAAGTTAATAAGTATATTATCTAAATAGGCATATGGCGCAGTATGCAAAATGACCTCGGGAAAAATGAATCGATTAATTCCAACAAAGGTGAAAAATTACAAGGTCTTTTCCCAAGCGAATCGCGTCCGTTCGACGCTAGTTCCGATCGACTGGAATCGTAAGAATGGCTATCATGGGCAAGGTCGAGCGATCGGAACGAGCGAAGAGCGAATCTCAGAGTAGCGGCAGCGATATCGGCCATAAAAACGAAGAAAAAGACGGACGCGTCGCTATTTTCGGCAAAATAGCAGGTCCGCATTCCTGTTGTCTGTCTCATATGCATAGATTATTTCGTGTTTTCGTGATTTCTTACCACGTAACCGTATAACGAACGTCAATTATCACGTCGACTATAATTTCGGAAACCGACTCTCACGTTTGAGCGCCACGCTAAACTCCACGACAATCGCGTGTTCAAGGCATTCAAAACTACGTAGCATCGTAACTTTCTAGTTCACGTCTAAAGAAATCGCGATATAAAAATCAAGGGACTATCGAAAAGGTAAAAAAAAAAGACGCTACACATGCGCTTATTGAAGCTTTGTACAAATGGAATATGTAATTTATTGCATTCGAGATTGCATTAATGTGCGCGAAATTATTACTTTCGTAACAGTGTTGCGAGAGGAGCATCAGATGAATTGTATTTCGGTCCAGCGCGGAGGAGGAACACCGCATTCGGTTAACCGCGCGTAGGAGGGTGGATAACACATCGCTCTTTGGCACATTGCTAATCAGTAATCATCACGCTTTTATAACGCACGTGCCATCGTACCGTAGATAATAAATGCAGCGGACGATGATAAACGGTGCATGATATGAGCTACGTTGACGTACGTACATACATGACGTACACATACACATAATTCGTGAATTCACTTATTTGCCGTTCCGCCGACGAAAATGATAATTCGTCGAACCCGCGAATCAAAACACGCATATGCGAATTTACACCTTTCATTCAAACAGATTTTACAATGAGTATTTCGACGCACCGCATATATATATATAGATTCAAAACAACCTTGAATGAGAATTAAATTATCTCGTACGTGCACGTAAGTTTCGCCACAATGATAATCGACCACATCGTCGGCTGTTTGCTCGCGCCGAATTTATCGAACGACAATATTGGCACAAGTTGACTCAATCCGTCTTCGACAAGCGTTTTCAATGCACTTCGCGTCCGTTACGCTACTACGCACGTCACGTCAGGTCTGCGCAATGATAAACATGAATCGAGCAATAAGCGCGAATCAAATGATTGACGTTGCCCGTGACGTTTGATTTTTTTTATTTGGAGAGTGAATTAAGAGCTTCAGAAATAGTCAGAAGCATCCATTAAGAAAATTAAAAATAAAGAACAGTTACTTTCTAATTTTAATTTTTTCAACTACATACACTGTTAAATTCGTAGGGTCAAATTATACTCAATTTGAGTCATTTTTAACCATTCCTATAGGTCACCATTGCTCCTACTCAATGTATCGTTAATTTAACTAAACCAAAGGAGTTAAAATAATACTATTTTGTTTTAAAATAATAAATTTCGACACACATAGTAATTGAAAATAACAAAATGTTATCTAACTCAAGGTATTGGTTTAAATTTCGTCCTTTAACAGTGTATTATTGTTTGAAATACAAAAAAGCGGAATTAGACTTTAATATAATTAGTATTTAATTATAACAGCAAGGGCAATATATGCCGCAAGTAAAGAAATTACATTTCCCTTCAGAGCAATATTATCAAATGGAAAAACGGTCAACTTTGAAGAGAACAATTTTATTATGTACAAGAATGCGGCTGGAGTCAATGATATATGAGAAACACTCGTCGCGTATTGTCGACAAGACCAGACGACTCATTGTCGCGTTCATAAATTCTTGTTAGTCTCTGCTAACACCGTGTAATAACTCAAAGACGCTATTGCGCGGTCGAGCGCGTCTAACGGAAACGTCACGTCTATCGCGCGTCGCGTATACTCTGCAAAAAGTTCACTGACTTCCGCCGCGCGCGGATTCGCGCGTGAAGCCTCAATTAAACTTTTCGCGGCGCGACCCGATTTTTTTATTATAATCATTTACTCTATTTATACCGGGCGTTTTAATGATATTTTTAATTTATTTGCTTTTGGTTTATATTATCTGAGCTTGTTATCCATCTTGAGTTATTTATATTCTCCTCGGCTGTATCAAGAAAAAATTTTCTTGGATTATTTTTAAGCCGATTTATAAATGTATTTTTCGTTATGTCTAGAATTATGATTCGTATAGAAATCCCGTGATAATGAATTTTTTGCTGAAAGCAAGACTTGAAATTTCCCATACATTAGGGCGGGTGATCGTCGTGACTTCTATATGAGTTTAGACGAGTCACACACTTATTTATGACGAGAGACAGTGCCCTAACAATTCCACAAAGTGCGCCAAATGCTTTACCCACATTTCTTGGCACGTCGTCTCGATTAGGATTGGTGATACAAGAGTCGCGCCGACGTAAATATAGCACAAACCCAATCTTCCATTTCATTGTCCGTGTCGTCGGTTTCTTAATAAGAGTGACTTTTAAATATAAGGGAGTTGTTTTAGAATATTATTATATATTATTACTCCACAAACGAAAGTGCAGTTTGCAATATTTCGCAAAGTTTAAGATAAGCGACGAATTCACTTAACAATATATTAACAGAGGATATAATAGTTGACAAGAAACAACCTTGTTAAAGACATCAACTTAGAAGTAAATAATTACCGGAATTAAATGAAGAGATAAAACGCGAAATTGTGACAATGACGATGATCGAAAATTTCGAAAGCGCCGGCAATTGACTTCTCATTAAAGTGATAATTTTAATTACCGTTTGCTGCGTAAAAAAAAAACAATTTTTTCGTGCGTAGTTACGTGTGACAACATTTTACTAGATAAAATACCGGACGATAACTTAAGCTCTCGGACGTCGTCGAAGTAATATCAACTTAGATACAAGAAACCAACCATTTTAACAGGAATTTCTCAGGTTGCGGCGCATGCTGTGGGAAGCGTCGCGTCTCATGCGAGGCGAATAGAGGAAAGCTATGCCGATAACTTACTTTGTCGAACGGGAATCGGTCTCAAGAGGCGCCCTTGCGCCTCTCTCTAAGTACAGCCGCGGCGTGCGGCGTAGATCGATGGCGCGCGGCGCTCTCTCACGCGCGGGGAATTAAAATCGCTGCATCCCACTCGCGCCGATGATGGCACGTCGATTACGTGATTCGCTTGTTTATATCCCAGACCTCGTCGCCGTGCTTGGCTACTGCGAGTACGAGGAAAGCCCGTGACACGATGACAGCGGCATCGGAGATCCGCAGGCAAGGCCACACTTTTACATGGATTCCCAGATCGCACGGAGCGTTCATCCGCGAACTTGCACTGGAGTTCCACGCGGCGAGCTCGCCGCCTCTTTTGTACTTTATATTCGTAGCATATACAAGAGAGAGAAAGAGAGAAAGAGAGAGAGTTCGATACGCTCGTCAATTCCTCGCAATGTCCACTAACGAGCGTAGAGATCGCGCGTTCGTCCGCGCGCGCGAGCCGTCAATTTCGCTCCAGCACTTTAAACTTTAAACTCCTCTTTATTATTTTTTTTTTTTATCAGACGTCTGCGTTTCTTCGGGGCACTTTGGCTTTCCGTCACTCGCATCAAAGAGTACGACGTCGCTCAGCTGAGAGAAGAATCCGCTGCAGCTGCTGTTTTCCGAATAGCGGCTCCGATTCACGAGTGGTATATTCGGTGCGCGGACGGACGGTGCGCGCAAGAGCAACACTCCTGGACGTTCACTCGGCGCGGCGGTTGGCGCGGCACTGACAATTGCGTATCGGTCAGAGGCGCCGTGGCGATGAGACAGGATCGCGAAATCGCATGATCGCCTACGCGCGCGCTGCACCACGCTCCACGCTGCACGGCCGCGCGATGTTCCTCTCTCCCTCTCTCTCTCTCCCTCCCCCTTTTTTTACCTCTTTCTCCGCAGCCCCGCCGCCAGAATTAGACAAAAGAACGGAATTCCGGTCTGTCTGAAAGAATCGCGGCGAGTACACGCACGCTTATGCGTAAGATCTCGTTTCGCGTGATGCGCGAACGATCAATACGGATGCGGTTATTGCAGTTATCGCGCCGAGAATTTGCGTAGATGCGCGCATCCGCGCGCTAGATGCGCGCCATGTGCGCCGCCGCGCAGCACGTGGCCGTCGTCACGGTTTCACGTAGAATTATACGGTGCACACAGAGCGTATCCTAGATCGAACGAGTCTTTCCTCGATGGATTCTTTGACGAAATTGGAAATGATCTTTCTTCGACACAAATATCAGGAGAGGCTATCGTTTATCGCAAGTTCACCTCTTTCTGTCAACTAAAAGTGGCGAGAGAGTTTAGGGGATTTTGTATAAAGAGCACTGTTAGGTATGCAGCGCTGTTCCACTTTCTTGATTCACGCGTTTCTTATCAAGATCGCGCACAAATAATTCATAGCTCGAGCGATTAATAGAAAATTATAATAATGATAGATTATAGGTATGTTAACATCGGAGGCAAAATGTTCCGTCCAAGTTTATTTGTCGTTGCGTTATATGTACAACGTTAACGAAAACTTCCTGCATTTTACTACTTACTATCTAGTTATGTAGCTCTATACTATATAGCTATTTGACTCTATCTGGAGTGCTATTCTGTACTCGTCCACCGATGATTGTCGGTGTCGATAACGTTCCGTACCGACGTTTGTCGACCGGAGCTATTCTCGACAACTTCTCACGGATGTACGCCGTTTAAAATTAACAATAAGCGCCAGTCGTAGTCGACAATTCTATCGAGGGGTCCCTCACCTATCGATATCGCTTGACCGACGCATACAGATGAGATTATTATTGGTTTGTGCGATTGTGTCGGTTAAACTTACAACATTTTTCCATTTTTTCCATTTTTTTTCCATTGAATACAAAATAGCACTCCTCTGTTGGTCTGTTGACATTTCAGTTTTTACCCACGTCATTTTTCTACGGAACTTATTTGCATCTGTTGCATAATTGCAGCCTCATTCAGTTTGCGCCGAAATATATTCGGCTGGACCCGGACTGATGTCCAGTCGAGATAAATAGCGCGTCGCGTCGCTCGGTGCCAAAATAATTTACTCATGCAGCACTACGTTCGTCGATACTCGATTTCGTTGCTTTTTGGGGTCTAGACGAAACAAAAAGAAAGTACGGGAGTAAGAAGTAAAGGGAGTAAAAGAGTGCACAGCAGTGACCCGCAGAAAAATTGTTCCCAAGTACTTGGGCGGCTGTCGCGCGTGCGATAAACAATATGTCGTTTGCTTGCCGTGACCCGAGCCTCGCGTCGCGGCATTAAAGTCCGATTGAAATCATTAACGCATTTAGCCTTTTAGTCTAAATTAACCTTTGCGTCTATATATGGACGATAATATCTATCCGTTAGGCAGAGCGTTATCGACACCGACAATCATCGGTGGGCGAGTACAGAATCGCGCTTCAGATTGAGCCAAATAGCTAGTAAGTAGTAAAATGCAGGAAGTTTTCGTTAACTGCGCGATAATACGCAGTCGAGCGTTAACCTTGACAATAGATCGCGATCCGGCTACACCCCGCAACATATCTCCGCGCTGAATAAAAACTCAGGTTCGTGGCCGACGCCGGCAAATCGCTATTAAAGAATACAAACTGCTGCAGACGTGACGTATATTCCTTATTGCACCTATAATAACTCATAGTAAATTTTTTGTTCCATACGCGTTTCCACGAGCTCATTTTAACACTAAAATGTCTACTTCAATCAGCCGTCGTTGACAAAGATATTGCAGGCGGTATCTTCTCTCCTTTTTACAAATACCAGATAGCGAACGTCGAATCGACGAAGGCGATAAATCTTTATTGCTTTAAAATACGAAAAGACACATTTACGCTGTAAAAAAAATTCAAGGACTTACGAATTTACGATTTAGCAATAGCAAATGTGACAAACAGGGTCAAAAGTCACTTCCGTGGGTCACTCGCTGGCGATAAAGACGAGGATTTCGCGAAGGAAAAGCCTAAAAATTACGTGCATACGTTGCAGCTTGTAGCGCAATCCATTCTCCTGCAGTGCGAAATGTCGAGATGTAATTTTAGACCTCGAAGAGAATTGCATTTATCGCTGAATTTCCGTGCTGATATCGCCGTCCATGTGGCGTCAATGAAACGAAAATTTAATTGCTCTTTTATTCATATCTGTGTTACTGGACTGCTGCTGGTCATCGTAGAATGATGTACGATACGTTGTCGGAGATGAAACTTGAAATATTAATTATATTTTTACATATCAGAAATTAATTTGCAATATTACGTATATGTATGTTTAGATGTCAGAAATGAATTCCAAATCGTATAGATTAACGAAATAAAATTTAACACTGCGCGGACACCGTAGGCCTTTTAAGGTAAGTCGATTTTTCATTTATGATTCCCACGGGAATGGGAAAAAAAGAATTGCAACAGTTCTGGCCTATGTAAGTATAGAAACTACTTATTTGAAGTCTTAAAGATGATACATGAATTTTTATAGATTTTTTTTGTAACACAGTAACGTTTTCAAAAACCCTTTAGACTTAAAAGTCTCAGGGTGTCCGGGTGAATGCTCTAAAAACACGGTGTCCGCACAGTGTTAATTTTAAAATGCAAGGATAATTAAAAGAGCTTAGATTACGTAATATAATGAATCCAAAGCGATATTTTCTTCAGAAATGTTTTATTATATCACACACTGCACTTAAACAAATAAAATGTATTAAAAGTATATTTTTATAGATTGTTAAATAATTTTTATGTGATAAAACGTTTATTAACAACACATCAATATCAGGCGATAATAACTCGTAATAGATAAAAAGAGTATTTTGATATCTAAAAACGGGTTTCTTTATTTAATTACGTATATGTTTTATAATTAGACTATCTGGGTAATATTGGTTGACGGCTGCTGTCCGCAAGATTTCGATGTGACCATGAATTGTATTAAAATCAATAGATATGTGGTGATGCTACCCACTATCTGCAAGAAAAATCACAAAGTAAATAATATGTTTGTAATTAATGTAAATGATCGATTGCTTACCGCGGTAAGAAGCGTCGCGTCCACAGAGAGACCTTTCGCGCAGAATGTATTTTCGCGATGCAATATTTGCAAGGAAAACAGTTGCAACTGCAACGTTTATAGAATAACTAACTGATAGATTCAATGTTTAAAAATGTCACACAGAACATTTCCGTAGAAATAAATTAAATTATTATTAATATTATTCGCATGAATTAATGTATCAGTAATCGAATTGGTAAAGACGCTCGGGTAGGGTCTCTATAGTAAGGAGATCCAGGTTCGAACTCTGGCTTGGGTGTTATTTTTCGCAACATATCCTATATTCCGTATTTCCATATCTATTTATTTCTGTATTTTGAAGTTTTGTATTAAAATCGGTGTTGTTAAATTGATTATCAATTTTATGCGATTGTATATAATAGTATACTATTCTAGCTTTAGTTTGAGACTGTGTTTCAAGATCGATAGTAGTGGCGCGTGATTTGCTAAAGTGAAAAAATGTTCATTAATTCACGCGAATAATTGTTCACTTATATATGAAATGATTATTAATTAAATAATTAAAAATTAATTAAATTATTGTATTTTTTACTACCTCATCTTTGATCTGCTTATCGCTGGTGTTGATAAGCACGTCGTGAACAGTGGTGCCGATCTGCAAGGCCTGGTCCTTGCCGGTATCGCAAGCCCACGCCATAAACGCTATTTTTATAGAATAATATCCTACGGCCGTGATGTAGTACGCGTACCAGATCTGTTTCTCCAGTTCGATAATGCCCACGCCCTCCTTCCACTGCACTATGTAGAAGTACAAACTGAAAGTAATTTCAGCGAAAGTCATGACTATGGTAGCGAGAAGTTGCAGACTGAAGATCGAGTTCAGCATCTGCACGGTATCGCTGACCATCAGATGCCGCTTCTTCAGGGCTTTGAGTTCCATTAGCAGAAACGGATTTCTCTGCTCGTGGTACACCCGTCTGAGGAGATGCGGCTCGTCGCTCACCACGAGCTCTCGCAGATTCATCAGATTGTCATTGATTCGTTTAAAACAGGCCTTTAGTACACAAACGCAGTTCATGTACAACATATCCATCTGAAACACCAGCAGGGTGAGGTATAGTGCTAAAACCTTGAACAAGGTCTCAGTGTATGTATCGGAGTAACAATTGATCGCCTGTCCAAGTAGGAAGAAGAAACCAAAGACGTCCTTGGCATGAATCAGCCTGGATATCTTCTGATACGATTCCGGGGGAACTCTCGTGGAGATCTCCATCATGGTCTGGAGCAAACGCATTCGCGGCTTGCTGAGAATGTACGTGATGACCGCTATGAAACAACTGAGTGCTAAATAGCAATTACACTGAAGGGCTCCAGGTATGCCCGCAAACTTTATCGTCGAGGAAACGTCGACCTGGTAGAGTACCACCAGTCCGTAAGAGCTGAAGATGCCTATAACGATGGTCGACGCGACGTAGCGCGGCTTGGACATCTCGAAGGCCGAAGCGGTGATCTTGTACGGGAATATTCCAAGAACGCGGGAGAAAATGAAGCAAGGATACATCAAGGATTGAAAATCCGTCGCGCGGAACGGCCGCCATTTTTTCCGCACTTTACCCTTGGCTTGTTCTTTCAACTTCGGCGACGGACTAAACATGATCAGCGCGGTGTCATGGGAGAGCAACGATCTAGATCGCAGATTGCATTCTGTAAATTATCAATCGCATTATCGGTGCACTTTGGCATTGAAGCGAGCGCGATCGCGAGAGCCTCTTCTCTAAGCGTACAGAGTTCGTCTTGCCACGATAAAAATGCCGAGCACGGGCCCCTCTTCGTCGTCTAAACCCGGCGAGTTCAAGTTTAAAACTGCCAGCAGTTGCTGCGTAGCGAAACAGGACCATTTGTTAGCCGTGAAGTAACCATGGTGTTCTTCGATCGGTCACTTGGCACCCCTGGGATGCAGCGCATAAACTATAAAGTAATAATGTGTAATTGCCGCGGCGTATACAACCCATCATCTTGCGCATCTAGGTCACGCGCAAGGCGAATCATGTGTGCATACACGAAACAGGAAGCATCAGCTGCGCAGTATCTACACGTGGATAATAACTCTCAAAGATCCGTTAATAACGACGGCGCATTAAATATTGCACTCTAATTGTTTATTCATTTTATCTCGATAACAAGGTTGGCATCCAAAAGTCATTTTTTTATATGTGATTATATTGTGACATATTGTTATTTATTCGTTTATTTTTAATAACTAAAAAATATCGATATGCGTCTATTATTTTGATCGAACACATATTGTCATCGATATTTACTTTTCGGGTTTAATCTGTAGGCGATCGTGAACTACAAATCATTTTCGCAAGTCTCTTGAGATATAATACGTTGAACACAATTGTATATTACGCATTAAATTGTTCCGCTGCTCGCTTTTTGAGAAACATTGATATTGTGAAAAGCGTATGCGTAACAAATGTAATGTTGATAAACCAACTTATGATGCAAGGACAATGCTATTATCTAGATTAGAATTAATCGACATATTTCTCTGACTGATGAAATTTTCAGGTATGAGGTCGGTAGGCAACAAATTATTCCAAGATGGCCTTTTGTATTTAGTGACAATAAAAAGGAATTAGGGGGTGGCGAACGTTATCATTATGATAATGCGTCGATCGCATTCCGTCTCAACGAAACCTCATCAAATTATCGTTGATAAACGAAGCTCGAAATGCAAACATACCGCCAACGAGCTTGAGTTATTTCCACGTTGGTTGAAAGTTAAACATTATGTCCATTGTCGATATGATGGCGTTCGTACTTCCAATGGAGGATGATGTATACGCTCACGCGTGCGATAACAATTAAAGTAAAATAAAGAATTAAAATTGCAGTAGATAGGACTGATCGATTAGACAGAATTGATCGAATGATCACTAACATATTCTAAATAATTATACATTTAAGATATTCAAAGTTTTATATCATATATCCTTTCACTTACGAATTCTTTGATCAATTAAGAGTCGATTTTCTTGATGAAATTGTCGAGGCGTTCAAATTGATCAAAGAATTCATAGATGAAAGAAAAGATATCTCTTTCAGATCAAAGGGGTAATCATAGAACCAGGCACAACTAATTTATTTTATTCTTTATTTTGTTCTATTTTGTGGTTGACTACCTCTTATATTATTTTTTTACGAATTATTTATGTGTTATTTTTTACTTTCATATATTTCCGTTTTATCTAGAATCTGGATTATGAAAGATTAATAAATGTAATTGCTAAAATGTCTCGTTGCAGAAGTAATTGCTTGATTTTTATTTATTCAATATACAAATGTAAAAAAAGCTTGAAGATAAATCGTTTTTTAGCGTACCTCTGCAAGAAGTTAATTCCCCACTTTTACATTTAACATATATTGAGAGTTGTGTTGAATTGGTCTCGGTTTGTGCTATATACATTGTGCTAGAATTTTAAAACCATAATATGAAAAATACGTTGAAAATTGAAAAAAAAACCGTATTTTGATATCTAAAAACGGCTTTTTTTATTTGATGTTTTATAATTAGACTATCTGCGTAATATTGGTTGATGGCTGCTGTCCGCAAGATTTCGATGTGACCATGAATTGTATTAAAATTAATAGATACGTGGTGATGCTACCCACTATCTGCAAGAAAAATCACAAAGTAAATAATATGTTTGTAATTAATTAAGGTAAATGATCGATTGCTTACCGCAGTAAGAAGCGTCGCGTCCACAGCGAGACCTTTCGCGCAGAATGTATTTTCGCGATGCAATATTTGCAAGGAAAACAGTTGCAACTGCAACGTTAGAAATCGGTTAGTGAATAACCGATAGATTCATTGTATAAAAATGTCACAAAGAACATTTTTGTAAAAATAAATTAAATTATTATTAATATTCGCGTGAATTATCATTAGTCAAATTAGTAAAGATGCTCGGGTGGTAAGGAGGTCCAGGTTCGAACTTTGTCTTGGGTGTTATTTTTCACAACATATCCTATATATATATATTCCGTATTTTCATATCCTATATTTCTGTATTTTGAAGATTCGTATAATTATGTGATTGTACTATTCTAACTTTAGTTTGAGACTGTGTTTCAAGATCAATAGTATCGGCGCGTGGTTTGCTAAAGCTGAAGCAAAGAAATAATTCACGCGAATAATTGTTCATTTATATATAAAATTATTATTAATTAAATAATTAATTAAATTTTATTTACTACCTCATCTTTAATTTGTTTATCGCTGGTGTTGATAAGCACGTCGTGAACAGTGGTGCCGATCTGCAAGGCCTGGTCTTTGCCGGTATCGCAAGCCCACGCTATAAACGCTATTTTTATAGAATAATATCCTACGGACGTGATGTAGTACGCGTACCAGATCTGTTTCTCTACTTCGATAATGGCTACGTCCTCCTTCCACTGCACTATGTAGAAGTACAAACTGAAAGTAATTTCAGCAAAAGTCATGACTATGGTAGCGAGAAGTTGCAGACTGAAGATCGCGTTCAGCATCTGCACGGTATCGCTGACCATCAGATGCCGCTTCTTCAGGGCTTTGAGCTCCATTAGCAGAAACGGATTTCTCTGCTCGTGGTACACCCGTCTGAGGAGATGCGGCTCGTCGCTCACCACGAGCTCTCGCAGATTCATCAGATTGTCATTGATTCGTTTAAAACAGGCCTTTAGTACACAAACGCAATTCATGTACAACATATCCATCTGAAATACCAGCAGGGTGAGGTATAGTACTAACACCTTGCACAAGGTCTCGGTGTACGTATCGGAGTAACAATTGATCGCCTGTCCAAGTAGAAAGAAGAAACCAAAGACGTCCTTGGCATGAATCAGCCTGGATATCTTCTGATACGATTCCGGGGGCACTCTCGTGGAGATCTCCATCATGGTCTGGAGCAAACGCATTCGCGGCTTGCTGAAAATGTACGTGATGACCGCTATGAAACAACTGAGTGCTAAATAGCAATTACACTGAAGGGCTCCAGGTATGCCCGTAAACTTCATCGTCGAGGAAACGTCGACCTCGTAGAGTACCACCAGTCCGTAACCGCTGACGATGCCTATAACGATGGTCGACTCGACGTAGCGCGGCTTGGACATCTCGAAGGCCGAAGCGTTGATCTTGTACGGGAATATTCCGAGAACGCGGGAGAAAATGAAGCAAGGATACATCAAGGATTGAAAGTCCGTCGCGCGGAACGGCCGCCATTTTTTCTGCACTTTACCCTTGGCTTGTCCTTGCAACTTCGGCGACGGACTAAACATGATCAGCGCGGTGTCATGAGAGAACAATGATTTAAATCGTAGATTGCATTCTAAAAATTATCAATCTCATTATCGGTGCACTTCGGCATTGATGCGAGCGCGATCGCGAGAGCCTTTTCTCTAAGCGTACAGAGTTCGTCTTGCCACGGTAAAAATGCCGATCACGGGTCTCTCTTCGTCGTCTAAACCCGGCGAGTTCAAGTTTAAAACTGTCAGCAGTTGCTGCGTAGCTAGACAGGACCATTTGTTAACCGCGGAGTAACCATGGTGTTCTTCGATCGGTCACTTGTCATACCTGGGATGCAGCGTCTAAACTATAAAGTAATAATGTGTATTTGTTGCGGCGTATACAACCCATCATCTTGCGCATCTCGGTCGCGCGCAATCATATGTGCACACGCGAAACAGGAAGCATCAGCTGCGCAGTATCTACACGTGAATATATACGTGGATAATAACTCTCAGAGATCCGTCAATAATAACCGCACATTAAATATTGCATTCTAATTGTTCGTTCTATTCCGTTAACAAGGTTGACATTCGAGAGGCATTTTTTTATATGTGATCATATTGTGACATATTGTTATTTATTCGTTTATTCGTATATCGATAGGCATCTGTTATTTTGATCGAACACATATTGTCATCGATATTTACTTTTCGGGCTCTGTAGGCGAACTACAAATTATTTCTGCGAGTCTTTTGAGGTATATAATACAATAATACATTGAACACAATTTTATATTACGCATTAAATTGTTCCACTGCTCGCCTTTTGAGAAACACTGATATTGTGAAAGGCATATGCGTAACAAATGTAATGTTGAAACTAACTTATGACGCAAGGACAATGCTATTATCTAGATTAGAATTAATCGACATATTTCTCTGACTGATGAAATTTTTAACAGGTATGACATAGTCGGTAGACAACAAATTATTCCAAGATGGCTGATCTTTGTATTTTAGCGATAATAAAGGGATAAGGGGGTGGCGAACGATGCCGTACGTTGTCATTATGATAATGCGTCGACCGCATTACGTCTCAACGAAACCTCATCAAATTATCGTTGATAAACGAAGCTCGAAATGCAAACATACCGCCAACGAGCTTGAGTTGTTTCCACGTTGTTTGAAAGTTAAACATTATGTCCATTGTCGACATGATGGCGTTCGTACTTCCGATGGAGGATGATGTATACGCCCACGCTTGCAAAAACAATTAAAGTAAAATAAAAAATTGAAATTTTCTAATTGCATTAAGTAGGACTGATCGATTAGACAGAATGATCGAAAAAATCGCCAACATATTCTAAATAGTTATACATTTAAGATATTCTAAGTTTTATATATCGTGTATCCTTTTACTAACGAATTCTTTGATCAATTACGAGTCGATTTTCTTGATGAAATTGTCGAGGCGTTCAAAATTGATCAAAGAATTCATAGATGAGAGAAAAGATATTTCTTTCAGATCAAAGGGGTAATCATAGACCAGATGCAACTTTATTCTTGTGCTTGACTACTTCTTATATTATTTTTTTACAAATTAATTATATATGTTATTTTTTACTTTCGTATTTTTCCGTTTTATCTATAATCCAGAAAATAAACGAAAATAGACAACTAGATAGGTGAAGTAATTGGAGTATAAAAAATTAATAAATGTAATCGAAATGTCTTGTTGCGCAAGTAACTGCTTGATTTTTATTTGTTCAATATGCAAATGTAAAAAAAGCGCAAATATAAATCGCTTTTTAGGCTCCATTTATACATGTATTCGTGTAATGCTTGCGACAGTTGTTCTATGTTTTTGAAATATAAAAGCTAAACGCATTTATTTGAGAGCACGCCCCATTAGATTGGAAACTTACTCAGCATAAATAAATATTCATGCATAAATAAATATTTATGCTATTTATATATTTGTATATGAATATTTTCCATACAATGTGACAGATTTATTTATGCGCGAAATTTTAGCGGACATTTCATGTAATTCTGTTTGGCTCGGTACGTTTGTCGTTTTGAAACACGCTTTAAACATTTTTACGTATTCGCATACAACGCTTCATAAAATAGCATATTTATTGGTTGCCTTTATACTGCAAACGATAATAATCATACTGAGGTATATATAACAAAAAGCATTTATACTCATGCATAAAAATGCAGCACGTGGTGCTTATGCAAAGTCCTTGAAAGTCTATCTAGAAAAAAAACGTTGAGATATATATATATCTACATAACAACATAACTTTAACTTATCAGCCGAGAATTTATAATAAAATTATTATTATGAAACGGATCAGAACATTCAAAGCTGCAACACAGTTTTTTAAACTATGTATATAAATTGAGGTATAACATATTAAGATATTCTCTTAAAATATATCTTCATATATTTTTATACACGAAATTATACAGCTCGAGAAATCAACGAGATAGTAATATCACAGAATATATAGAATTGTTGAAAAAATTAGAATGCTATTAAACACATTCTTGGGATTTTACATAATTTTTCAAATTTATTCCAATAAAATAATAAAATTTTTCATCAAAACAAATGAAAAAAAATTGTTTATGAATAAAAGAACTTCTCATTTTTCCAGATTCTTTAGGGTCGATTCAGACACAGCCGTGCCGTACCCGTACCGTATCCGTATCGTTAACATTAGACAAGGATGGAGACAATAGGAATCCTTGTCCAATGTTTCTGTCCGTGATACGGTACGGGTACAGCACGGCTGTGTCTGAATCAACCTTTATAGTTTCGCGTCCGTCTCAAATCGTCTGCAAAACTAACAATCTCAACGTAAGAAGAGGAATTTTTTGAGATATTCTGCCTGTTTCATACTGGAAACGCTCAAGCATAATTAATACAGAGAGATATTTTTCAATATTTTACCGTATGATCAGATACATATGTAAGTAAGAGGCGATAATAAAAGATCATATTAATATAAAGCCAGAAGACAAATTTTTGAAGACAAATGAGTTTGATAAATCACTTTTATACGTCATATTATACCTGATTAATTTTTAAAGCAATTGAGAAATTATAAAAAATTTATAGACACTAATTTTCAAGCGTTATGTTGATATTTTGAACTGTGAAGTGAAGGTCAATAAGCACGATATATCTAGAAATGCGTAAACCGGAGGTAAAAAGCATTGAAACAAGTAATATATATATATATATTTATATATGTATATGTATATGTATATGTATATGTATATGTATATGTACATGTATATGTATATGTATATGTATATGTATATGTATATGTATATGCTGAAGTATTATATATTCATACAGCTACATAGAGTGTTTGGTAATAAGTGTAACATCGCTCGTGAGTAGATCTAGAATGAGTTAAATTAAATATAAAAGTCAGCTACTATTTTGTGATTGTCGCAATAATTATTGAGATATTAAATAGTTAACTCTCCGTGCGCGCGCGCGCAAACACACACACGTGGGTCTACAGCGTCCAAGCCAGAATCTGCTCGTACTGATGAGCGATCTCGATTCAATTTTCAGAAAATCAATCTTTTTTTGTCCAAAACTGATTTGTTTAAATCGATTGTTTTAATCCGATTTTATTAGTAAATCGATTCTAGTTATTTCGATTTAAGATCAATTCAAAAATCGATTTTTTTTCCCCTAAAAGATCGCCCATGGCCATCACCATCTGCTTGTAACTGTAAAACTGGTGAGTCTGGCTCCTTTCTCTAAAAAAACTAAGTGGGAAAAGGGATTTAAGGGTTCAAAGCCGTTACGAAAGATCACTATACTTATATCACCGAATTCTCGAGCAAGTTAGATCTCGCACAAACGTCCCACGTGGAGACCCACGTGCACTGAACTCAACTAAAGAAAACCTTTTTTTGTAACAATTTTTGCTAATTAATTATTTATGATAAATGTTGTTTTTGGTCAAAACCATCCCCTTAAAAGATTTTGACGAATTGTTGCATCTCTATTTAGTTATTTTCAAAAACTGGAATTTATTGGACGGCGGACCCTCCTGAATAATTCAACTTTTTTTTTAACATTTTCCTTTGAAGTAAAAAACTTTATAAAAGGAATTTTTCTTCTGTAAATTGCAAATTTGTAAAGAAATGTATTTTTTCCTTTATTTTTAGTCAAAGTTCATCAACCCTACGTTTTTTCTGGTACCTTCTCAGGGTACACGTGGACCTGTCAAAAATTCACAAATTAACTCACGAGCGATATTACATCTTTGTCAGACACCCTGTACATGTACAGTTCAGGTTTCAGAAGTGTCGCTACTGGCTCTGCCCTCCCTCCTCCACGTCCACGGAACGGAGACCACGCGTTGGCGTTTGTTTGGCGGTGGCGGTTGGCGCGTGTTCCCGTACATGTGAAATGAATAACAGTGCGAAATGGATAGTGGAAAAACGGTTATCTCGTCTGCTTAGCTAATGCTTCCATTGTTACCGATGTAACTTTATTTATTGCGCTTATAATATTTGCATCCTTTGCGTACGAATACAACGTTATTGAGACTTAACCTATCAACATGAACGACAACGTCGAGAACGGAATCATCACCCATATATATATGGAGAATTTTGTGTGAGTGAAGAATATATTAATTCTTACGGTGATTCTAAAGCCGTGATCTTAACCGGTTTTTTTCAGTTTTTTTCTTAGCACTAATCTTTTAATTGGCTTTATAGAAATGCAAAATTCTTGTCTAGAATTAAAGTACGCATCAAAATCTAGGTCATGGTGGTCGAATTTATGTGTGGTGGTCTCGTCACGTATAACAAAAAATATTAATTTTTTTTTGTTTTTGATATAAATTCGATTACCATGACCTAGATTTTGATGCGTACTTTAATTCTAGACAAGAATTTTGCATTTCTATAAAGCCAATTAAAAGATTAGTGCTAAGGAAAAAACCGGTTAGGATCACGGCTTTAGGATCACTTTAATCCATGTGAGATTACCACGCATCCGAAACATTTAATATATTGTTTTATCTTGTTATTACATTCCATTACATTATTGAACATTTTTATCATATAAATCACAAATTGGTGTATATTTCCAATATCCTCTTTTAACAGAACTTATGACAAAGCGACAGTGACCCCTGGAAGATATCTCAATGTTATCATTGGACCTAATGGTTCCGGCAAGTCCACCGTCGTCGCCGCTATAGTTCTCGGTCTAGGAGGCAAGCCGAGTATCATTGGGCGGGCCCTTCACATAGGAGAATACGTGAAGTATGGGCGTGATACAGCAAAAATAGAAATTCATCTAAAAAACAACTCCAAACGAGATTCTATAGTGACTAGAACATTTACCAAGGATGGAAAGTCGACGTGGATGATTAATAGCACTCCGACAAGTGCAAAAAGTGTACAGGAATTCACGGCCAAGCTTAATATTCAGGTACACATCTTGCATTTATATTTTTTGCTCGTCTTAGAAGGCTCAAGGTTGAATTTACTTGAATACCTTCAATCATCTGTTAAACTTGACGTAAAATTTTTTAACTTTTATTATAATCTTTTGTTATTTGCTGGGAAAAGACCTGCAAGTCTCTTAAAAGACATAGAATTGCCCTGGCTTATATTTATCTAGTTTCTAAATCAAATGTATCATTAATGATTTTATTATTTTTGCAGGTTGACAATCTTTGTCAGTTTTTGCCACAAGATAAGGTACAAGATTTTTCAAAAATGGATGCTCAAGCATTGTTAGAAAATACAGAAAGATCTGTCGGAGATCCAAAGCTTCTTGAGTATCATCTACAATTGAAAGAACAAAGAGCCAATTTCAAGAAACTAGAGGTCGATGTAGGCAAAACAAAAAAGTTATTGGAATCCAAAACTCAGAGGCGTGATGGGCTACAACAAACTGTTGCGACGATAAAAGAGAAAAAAATGATGAAGAATAAGATTCTGGCGTTGCAACAAAAAAAGGCATGGATGCTCTACGATCACATGCGAAGGAAATTAGTGGAGGTAAATAAAAATTAATTTGTAATGTAAAACATTAAGTGACATTTTTCTTTATTGTTACCTTTTTTTTTACTGTTGATGTCTTTGTATATGTTTGTATAGTCAAAGAAAACCAGAGATACAGCAGTAAAAGAAATGCAAGCAATAGACGCAGACCTAAAACCGTTAAATGAGAAGATTGAGAAATTGAAGTCGGATATGACAACGTTAAAAGCTTCTTTAAAAAATCACGTGAGTATAATATAATGTAAAAAGAAACCGTTACTCAAGAAATTGATTTATTGCACAGTACAACAAAATCCGTACTTTTTAAATTAATTTTTTATTAATTATTAGGTTTCATTAGTGGATTATGATAGGTAGATGCCTTCGTAGCACACCAGTACTAACCGTTCGTTTCCATTACATTAAATTTTTTTTTAATTTGGAGGTTGGCCACTTCAAACCATTTTTATTGACCAAATTCAGCTTTATTTTAAAATAACAAAAATTTATTGATTTTGAACACTTATTTTAAAGTAATGAAATAATATTTTGCGAAAGAATTGTGGTAAGAAATAGTTAAAAATTTATTTTTTTCTTAGCTCATGGCAATTCAACATCGTCGTTCTCAATCAGGAACCAGTACAAGTCAACTAGCATAAAATTCAGTTTTTTCTTTTATATCGTATCTCCATAGACTTGGCTACTTGATGAAATCTCTCTTCTTGTTTATCTGATTCTGGAGGTAGGTAATTGCTGTTCGAAATAATCTAACAAGGAAACCTCGCAAACCTAAAAATTCTAAGTTTGGATGAAACTTTACACACATGTAGAGGGAAGAGAATAAATAGACGAATTTAGAAATTTTTAGTTGCGACTCAAAAACGATTCCTAGAGGAGTGAAACCACTCATATGTAGAGCTGCTTTTTGCTTTTACATATAAGATATAGGTTTCACCCCTTAAAATCATTTTTAGGCCGCAATTAAAAATTTCTAAATTCGTTTATTTACTCTCTTCCCCTCCTTTATTTGTAAAGTTTCATAAAAATCAGAATTTTCGGGTTTGCGAAGTTTCTTTGTTAAATTATTTCGAACAGCAATTACTCACAAAATCAGATGAGCAAAGAGAGAGATTTCACTAAGTAGCCAAGCCTGGAAACACAATATAAAGGGAAAAAAAACGGGATTCTACGTTGGCTGACTTAATGTAATGGAAACGAACGGTTGATACTAGTGTACTACGGAGGCACCCATCTATTATAAGGCTATTTACTGTGTTGTCAATTGATATATATTATATTGACGCATATTACATTAACAATCTGAAATTGTATATTTTCAGAACAATAAAGTTCAGGCTAAGAATACGAAATTAAGAAACATTATGAATGATATTCTTAGCTGTGAAAACAAGATCAAGGAAGCTGAGAATATTTGTTCTCGAAACATCCAAGCGGAACAAACTCGAGATCAAGACATTAAGCTTGCGCAACAGCAGAAATCCAAGCTTGAGAACGACTTCTCTCTCATGATTGAAGAGATTGGGTCAGGTTTGTAATTAATGATTTAATTTAACCTTAATGAATAGTAATAATAAAGTGTGTATTAGTTTATCGTTCCCAAAGCTAATTACTTTTCCTGAAATACATTTCGCAACTTTTTTTATGTACAAACGTTGAATTTTCTAATCAACTTATAAACCAAGGCATATGCGGAATGAAGGTCGGGTTCGAACGTAGAACTCACTATGAGTCGACCACTTTCGCATAGAGCAAATGTCACATCCCACAATAATACAGTATTTGTCATGTATTTCAGAGGAAAGTTTAACGACGCAATTGCAAAATATAGCAACTAATATGGAGGAGCATAGAAAAAAAGTTAATAAGCTTACCAGTAAAAGAGACACATCAAAGCACGAAGACGATAACATTAGCCGTGACATTAGAGGTATATTTTTACAAATATGCATATTATATTTTTAATTGATTATTATCTTCATCGATTTGTTATTAAATATGCTAATTAAAATTATGCAGCTGTTCAAGCGGAACTCAAGAATTTTGATATTGATGTGAAACGATTGGAACTGTTGAAACAAAGAGATATGAATGCATATAAAGCTGTGCTTTGGTTAAAAGAGAATAAAAACAAGTTTTCAGCGACAGTGCATCAGCCCATGTTGCTCAATATTAACGTAAAAGATGCTTCATTTGCCAAATATTTAGAAAACATTATATCGTTTCGGGATTTAGTTGCATTCACATGCGAGGACAAAAAGGATATGAATCTACTACTGAAGTATTTGAGGGACCAACAGAAACTGCAAGTCAATGTGGTACACTCTGATCCGATGAAAAGAATCTCAATGCAACCGAATATACCGATGGAGAACATTAAGAAGTTTGGCTTTAAGTATTATTTAACAGAGCTTATTGAAGTACCACCATCCATAATGAACTATCTAGTCTCGATGTACCACTTAAACAATATTCCTGTCGGGACTAATGAGATCGAAAATAATACAAATTATATACCTCATAGTTTACACTGTTATTTTAGTGGTGAGTATATTTTTTAGAAATTATATTTCACAAATTTTGGAGAGTTTCCATACATTTAATAAAAATTTTTTTGTAGAAAATAATATATACTCTGTGAGCATATCTAAATATACGCGCGAAGTATCGACCAGAATATCACGGGTCAATGGAAATGGAATGCTATCTATTGTTCTGGATAAGGCTAAATTACAAGATCTTCAAGAACGGTATATTAATTAAGCAAAAATATATAAAAATTATAATGAATTAACATATTAAAATTAATTAATATAAAACATAAAGTTCATTAATATATTAACTATTTCACAGATTACAAAAGTTGCAAGAAATGAAGAGTCAAAAACTGAATCATATTAAAGAGATAGAAGATGAAATAAGTGAGGAAACTAAAGCATTAGAGGAGTATAGAATCAAAAGGAATAAATATCAGCAAAATATTCAGCATATTCAAGCATTAAAAAGTAGAATACACATGGCTGAAAACAAAATTAAGCAGATGGAAATGGCCCGGACGAGTATTGAAAATATTAAAGCAACATGCACCAAAGAGATTAAGGTTTCTTTTTTTTTAACAACATAGCACACTATCTTTAAGAATTTATCTAACAAAATCTACATTTATATTTAACAAATTATTTATAGGCTATTCGAAAGAAACAATTGCAAAAGTATAAGGAATGTAATGCAGTTCTGCGAGAGTGTTTCGATTGCAATACAAGTAATGTAGACCTCAAATTTGCAATAGCATTATTGCAGCAAACTTTAATGACCAAAGAGAATGATGCTGCAGAATTAAAGGATAAATTCACAAAAGCAGAGAGAACATTTAAGCAATGTGATGAAGAATATCAACCCTTAAGGAGAGAAGGTGAAAGACTATATAAGGAAGCATTGGCAACCACAAAAAATCTTAATCCACAAAATAAGGAGTTTAAAGTTTACAATAAAGCCTTTGAAAAATTACCAGTCACCATAGCTGAAATAAATAACGAATTAAATACCGCTCAAGCAAAAGTTTTTTGTATGGCGAAAAATGTGGACACCGAGAATGTAAGTATGGCAATGGGAAATATAATTACCTTCCAGCTATAAATTATTGATACAATGGAGAAATCGAATATTTTATTTATATTTTCAGATACTTCGTGAATATGAAGATATACAAGAAAATATTCACGCTTTAACTGAATTTATTAAAAAAAAGACTGTTGTACTAGAGAAAATGACGGCAGAGATTGAAAACTTAAAGGAAAAATGGTTATATCCATTGGAGCAACTGGTTGAAAAGATAAACTCAAACTTTAGTTCTTACTTTTTCGCGATGGACTGTGCTGGCGAAGTTACACTCTCGCATGGTGAAAATAACGTAAGTGTATACGCATGATATACATGCGAAATGAAGTTCTTCCTTTGTTCTTAATAACACAACAACGATATATTTTCAGCTCGATTTTGACCAATATGGTCTAAAGATCAAGGTAAAATTCCGTGATGCAGACGAATTGCAAGAATTAACAAGGCATTTTCAGAGCGGTGGCGAAAGAACGGTGACTACTGCTATTTACATGATAGCCCTGCAAGAATTATCGCGTGTGCCATTTCGCTGTGTGGATGAAATTAATCAGGTTCTTATACATTAATAATAAATTGTATTTATGTAATCTATCATAGTTTTTTTTTTTACAACTTAAATTTTTCTTGGTAATTTATTAGGGCATGGATGCAGTGAACGAAAAACGAGTCTTCGATTTACTTGTAAAAATGACAGGAAGGCCAGGCAGCTCCCAATATTTTTTGCTCACGCCGAAAGTAAGCACAACAATTTATGCGATAATTTTCATTAATTGCATAATTTTCATTAATCTTGTTCTAATAGCTTCTACCTGGATTATCGTACGCTGAGACAGTGACAGTCCATTGCGTCTTTAACGGATCAGTTAAAGCGGATGATGAAGAATTTGAATTCAATGTAGAGGATTACTGCAACTTTCTTGAATCGTCAGCTGATTAATAGACGAAAAAGGCAAAAATTTTAAAGATTGATACCTTGTGCCTAAGTACAAAGACATAGTTTACTAACGTAATTTAGAAGCTTCTCACTGACAATGAGTTATAGAAATTTATTTTTAGTTCTGTGTATACAGTGAGTGTGCTACAAGTTTGAAATTTTATATTTTTATAAAACAGGAGAAAATGGAAATTACAGTTTTAATAATGGTTTTGACATTTTATATTAATATAATGATAATTAAGTAATGCTAAGTGTTGATATAGTTATAAAACAGAACAGATACCATGATAGTTTACTTAGTATGCGTTTTATATAAATAGATATTTGTATTACATTGAAACTGTTTGTAATGTTTTAAAAGTATCTATTTTCAGATGTTCGCGTGACTATTTCTTCCTCTTTCCTTTCTTCTTCTGAGCCTCTGGCCATGGGAAACCTCGGCACTTTAGCACATCCATGATGTTATGGCATGTATAATAAGCATTTTCCATCACCTCCTCGTTGAAGATGTCCATGGCGAATCGTGCTTTCCCGCCGCTTCTTCTCGATTTCTTCGATCCTTTACTTTTGCCGCCATTGCCACCTTTACTACCTTTTCCATTATTTTTTCCATTTGTCTTTGTACCGGCTTTCTTCTTTCCTTTACCCGTTGCCATTGTATTCAATTATTACCTTGAGAAACAAATCAATACCAAGTATTGTGATAATTTATTGATAATGAAAGTTCATCACAGTTGTATGTATAAATTGTTCATTGCTCACTAACCGATATTCGTTTAAATTAATTTCCTTTCACCACATTTTCGTCGCATTCTGCATTTTCGTGATAGAAAGCCAGACTCAAACCGGAATAAATAACGCGTTGCCATATCAACCTGTAACTATTATATCAATAAGTTCATTGATCGCTAAACTAGTTAACGCTCCAGATTAATCGAAAAGGCCATATGAGACAGGATGTTTGCAAGACTTTATGAGAGAGAAACTCGAATGTCGGCTTTTATTTCGTCGTAAACAGGATATTCAGCTGTGGGAGCTTGGTTCTTACGTAATCCATCTTTAAATTTTTCACAGCCACGTGGTATTCCGGATTATTTCATCGAGATTCCAGGGAAAAATCTCGGGATTATTTCAGAAGTTAAACAAGAAAATGTCTTGTGAAAACCATCACACGCAGGAACGTCATTCTTAATTTTCCGTAGTCACACCGGGTCAATTTGACCCGAGCCTCAACTTTGGTCGTAAATATCTTGCGCGTAACTTGAAAAATGGCGGGCATGACGCCCTTTAGCTTAGTTAAAAAAAATTTTTTTTTTTTTTTTTTTTTTTTAACAAATTTTTCGCGAATTTTTTTATATGTTAAAATTTCCTGAGGTTTTTCTTTTTTTATAGCAATCAATTTAGCAATATCGCAAGTGCATTCGAGAATTTTTTCAACCCGATCGGTGGATAAATGGTCAAATGGCGAACGGTCAAAGTTCGTCTCGGGTCAAAATGACCCAGAGTGACTTCCTTGTTTGAAAAAATAGGTGTGACTACGGAGGGTTAATTAATGATAGTTTTCATGCACAAGCAGCACAAGAAAATCTAATTTTTAAGAAAATTACTTAACGACGAAAGAAATTTTATTGTTAAAAATCGTGTAGGTTTAAAACAGGTTTATATCCATTTTAATCACTGAATTCATTGAACGGCAGTCATGCGAGGAGAGTTTTAGTCAGCGATTTTTAATATTTCCGCCGCACGTGAAAAACCTTGAATCGCTGACCTCCGAATTTACGGATATGCTCTTGGCCTTAAACATGCACTGACCGTATCTGTCGCGGACCTGAATTTACAAGGTTAATCTGTGCACGTACTGCTGATGTGACGTGATTTTTTTCGATAAGATATCTCGAGAGCCACGATGAGACAACAGTTCGAACGCGTAGAAATCTATCTCGCGCCTAAGAATTATTTCAAATTTGAATGTTTCGGTCTGTTTAAATCCCTCCGAACTCAATTAGCAGCTTGAATGTGTCCCTCATTAAATCTACTTTGACCAGTGAGATTCAATGTTAAATTCTTATGAGCTTCACACTGTTAAATTCGTAGTGTCAAATTATACTCAATTTGAGTCATTTTTATATAACCATTCTCATTTCCACTGCTTCTACTCAATATCGTTAATTTAACTAACCAATGGAGTTAAAATAACACTGTTTTGCGTTAAAATAATAAATTTCAACGCACACGGTAGTTAAAAATAACAAATTATTTAACTCAAGGTATTGATTTAAATTCTATCCTTTAATATTTAACAGTGCAGAAGTTGGAGAACATGCAGAACCACGAGTACGACGATAGACTGGTATACCGCAAATCCGTGCGGCCGAAAGTATCGAAAGTATATAAATAATACGAGAGACACAAATAATAAAAAAAGATATACATATAAAATAATAGAACCAGATATGTATGTGAATCACACTCTGACTTAATCTGTGATTAATTTAACTGGAATTGCTTACAGCAAAATTTCTAACTATACATATAATTCATCCATACCGTATAATCTTTAATCTTTCTTTCCACGTATTAAACAAGAAATGAACGATGCTCGATTAAGATAATATTTGTAATATACGTGTGGTTGTGATAAGTTAATTGCTGATTGAATTAATCGGAGTTTGATCAAGGTCATTCTAATTAATTTAATATTACTCGGTACATATATACATATAATGCTATTAAATTATTGTATATATACGTATGTAAGTTTATTATATGTATACCTTAGAGGTAAAGGATCGTATAAAATCTCCATTATTATAAATTTAGAGAAAACAGAATTTTAAAGTTTATTTCTATGAAAATTTCTAATACGACCTTTTATAAATATTGTTTCTTAGGAACTAATAATAACGGACATAAGATCCTTTGTCATTATACTTCATCATTATAATTTAAGCTTTTGGTATTTTAGAAAAGGTAAATTAACTTCGTTTTGACGAAAACTGGAAATACGATTCTTTACACACCTCTAAGGTAGATCTATACTATAATATTTAATAATATATACAATAATAGTTGCTTTCCATTTACATCAAAACTCAGATAATTCTCATTTGTGACGTCATAACTTAGTTAAATACACGTTCTTTTTGCATGCTGGCAAGTGAGATTCAACTGAGTTTTTATCCAATAATCGAGATCATGTGCTTTAATGAATCTAATAAACTCACATTAAAAGTGCGAGGCTATGGACCTGTATTATTATACGATAGCTTTGTTACCAAAATAAGCAGGTAAATACAAAAAATGGCATTACCTGAGTATAAAATACTCACATAACTGAGTGACTCAGATCACTTGAGTGTAAATGGAAAGCAACTAATAATATTCATTATATGTATATATTTAGATTATTGTATAACATATGTATATCGTGGGGGAAAACACTGGGCCCCTCCGCTCCGACGACCGCGACGGCGTGCTTGTCGCGGGGATGCGTACTGCGTACAGCCGTGTCAGCCGTACAGTCGGTTGTCAGTAATGTCAGTTGCCCGGCGGAGCCCGACGCGAGCAAACGTGTGCCACGTGTCCGAGCCATCTGCTCCGCTCCGTGAAACGCCGGCAAGTCGACCGTGCCGGCCGCCGTGATTCGCCGACTGGATCGTCACCCGGTGAGCAGGATTCATCCGGAAAGCGACCGACTCTTTCCCCACGTCGAACGTTCATCCGTGCGTCGAATCTTCCGAGTACGGAAGAATACACGAAAGCGAGACGAGATGTTTTACTCCAGAATTCTCCGGTCGAGACGGTAGCTCGTTTACTTTCGTTAGCGATCTCCACGCGATCGCTGTAAACACTCTTCATCGTCCAGATTGTCCTAGAACGATGAAATGGACCGGTTTTATTCGTCTTTTGTCTAGATTCTCTGGGTGAACGAAAATTGCATCTATTCCTTTATTCATTACTGTTATATTCGCGAATCTGTCCTCTCTGTTGAAGTCTGGAGAAAGAAAGAGGGAAACGCTAGGCTTAATTAATTCGCCGTCGGCGTTGCGTCGATTTGGAAAGAGGACTTAATTAGCATTAGCATTAGTCAGCGTTGCACTTCGACTTTCCAAGTCTCCAAGACGAGTTCTCTCGGAATAATGAAGGAAATTCTTTCGCGAACAGGAAACAACCGTTATGTCGCGATGGGACGAAAGATATATAGAAAAAAGAGACATATTCGAATGCGAAACCTCGAACCAACGATTTTTAAGTAGCGATCGTTGAAGCAGTCACGTTTCATCGTCACGACCAGCCGGGTTGTGCAGTAAATTTCAAAATTACGTCTATCGACGTCATCGACGTGGACTGTTTGTGTATTGTTTACATTATGCATTTCAATTGTAATTTTAAAAGATACGTGATTCTAATGTAGAAACATTATCATTCATATTGAGCTGTTAAACTACAAAAAGCAATATTAGTCCATGGTTGCAATATGTTCAATGTTCATTTGTTTCATAGGCATAAAATCAAGATCTTTAACCCGTTGAGGTCACATGGGGTCCAGTGGACCCTAGGCTTTTTTTTATTTTTTTCTTAAAAGTATACTATTTTGAGAGTAAAAGGCACAAAGTTTTTTTACTCTATCTCAAAAAATTTTGATAAATATTTTTGTGAATAAAGTCAAATTTCTCGAAAAAAAATTTTTTCTCGCGTTTTTTCAACATAAAAAATTTTTTAAAATTATTGGATTATCAAGAGGAAGTCATAAATTAATTCCAGTTCAAGGTTTGAGTCGATACATCAAAAAGAACGCAAATGGAAACTGTTGTGGGGTCCATTGGACCCCATGTGACCTCTACGTTATTTTTAGGAGTGTGACCTCAACGGGTTAAAACTCCATTGTCAATTTTCTGTAGCGTCCTAAAAATTGTACCAATAGGTAGCTGAAAATAAAATTGCGAACAACATAACATGAATTTCTGATATTTTTGACAAAATATAAATGTTCGATGATCCATAGGTTAATTTATATTGCATGTAGATTATTACATTTTATTTTATGTTAATGTCCAATTCTGGTCTCGACTCTAAAAGAAAAAACGTATATTTGGTTCATTCTACACGTTAATCGCCAACATTAAATCTCGCAAAGCACTCGATATTTACCGATAAACAAACGTCTCGTAAACGCGTTTCGGCGAGGCGAACCGCTCCGCGAATTGATTGAAACGCGCGGTATCGCCGAGTTGTTTATCCACCTCTATCGATCTTTCGTATCGTCGATATAACCCTCGCTGTCGGCCGTAAGCCGTTCCCGCTGCACAGGACCGGGGCCGGGGCCGGGCATGCAAAATTGCAAAACGATGTAACGATCAATCCACGCCTCGTCCCTCGTTCTCTGCCGGCGCGATACCCTTCGCCAGGAGGTCAGGATGCATCCTCGATCGCGCGAGACGCCGCGCGCTTCTGCGGTAGCCGGTCAGCAGTCGAGCACCCCGCCGCGGCCGTGTCGTTCTGCACATTCAGCGCGCTTACCTGTCATACGACCGGTCATCTGACACCCGAGAGCCCCGTGTGACCGGAATAAAACGCGGCGCTTACTTTTGCTCGCAGGTCACGGAGCATCAATCGCATGAATCACCATCCACGGCCGTCGCGCAGCCCGTCGACCCCGTCGTCCGTCATTATCGGCCTCCAGAATCTAAGAAGGAAGACAGCCGGTCTGCCCCTTTCCAGGAAGAGGTGAGATAATGCCGCGATCACGTTCGCGCGAATCTCCCGCAGACAATACGTGCGGTATCGCTGGAAAGAAGTGTAAACTTGTGTATCGGAATGATTGCGCGAACGTGCTCGAAGAGCCGTCGTTTTCGACGGTCGCGTGATTGAATATAAGAGGGAAAAAGAGAGCTGGTTTTGAGAGAAAGGGATACACCTCTTTCAGACGCCGACGGCCTGAGGAAAGATGTCCACGGCGTTGCTGGCCCTGTTCGCCGTGATCCTGTGTATCCTGTTCAGGATACTGAACGTGAACAGCGCGCCGCAGAGGCCCCACCTCGTCTGCAAGGACCAGTCCTTCCTGTCGACGGTGCTTAAGATCGCGCCGGTCATCGCCGAGCCGTAAGTCCGCAAATTTGTCTCCCTCACGTTTCTCGGGCAATCGGTCTTCTCGAATCGCGCCCAATCACGCCGGCCGTCGACGTCCGAAAGACTGGACATCACCGTGGATTCTTTCCGAGTCCGCGCGGGTAGCCGCGGAAGTGAGGTTAGGTTGATGCTGGACGCCGGAATCCGCCGGATGATGCTCCAGCATGGGTGGGCGTGAGACTCGCCTTCGTTGCCTTATTGACGAATATTTCAAACTATACGTCGTAATGCAAATAAGTAAATTTAAAAAAGCAAAAAAAAAAGTCAATTTGTATTATTGTATACAGGGAAAAGAGTATGCGTTGCACTTTTATCCACTGATTTGTCCATTTAATGTAATGAAAGGATTACAATGATGCAAAAGGAGGTATTAATACATGGATAAGATATGTATTTTATAGTTTTGTGCACAAAGATTGTTCGATTGACGTTGATTGTAATTTATAGGAAAGAAAATAGATCTGCAAGATTTATTACAAAGTATCCGCTACAAATTTCGTTGGCAAAACGCCAGCAGGCATATAACAGGATACTGTTGACAGAATACGGTGGCAGATTGGCTTCAGAAACCAAGCAAAATCTGTCATTTCATCTGACAGATTTTCTGCTCAGTTTCCGAGAGTGGTGATCACTCTCAGATTGTGTCGGCAAGCTCTAGCAGAAGACGAGCCTAATCCCAGCAAACACCAACATACAACTTATATGCAAGTTAGAATTTCCTACTTAACAATGTAAATGCAACACATGTGTGAGTAAGAAACTCTAACTTGCATGTAAGTCACATGTTACATGCTGTGTTTGCTGAGATGCGGATGCAGTTGAAGTCAATCTGCCGCAATGTTCTGTTTGAATCTGCTGGCAAGTTACTAGCGTGCTACTAACATTTCGCTTGCTGGCATAGTTATACAAACAATGAAAAGGATTGTTTGCTTTACGATACAACGCACAAGACTCTAAAAGTTGAAGCCGCTTTTTATACGTAATGTATGTTTGCTTGCGTGATATGTGAAGGTTGTAGCAAATGCGCCCACATCGGCATTGTGATTGGCTTTCGAATAAGTATAAGTAATGCGTGTTTTCCCGCTATACTAGGAATGTTTGGGATCATGGATTGTTGCAGGCTTTTGTTCGAGCTCGTTAGGGAACACTCACGCGATTACGAATCGCTTGTTTAAAGTGGTTATTACAGGGAATGATACATTGTTACAGTAGTCAAAGTGTAGGGTAATGTTACATATAATGCCAGTAAACATTAGAGTCTATTTTTGAATGACTTATCAAATAAAAGGTAGACACAAAATTCTTATCTCTATACTTAATTCTCATAATTGCCTGAAGTCATATATCTGATATCCGTGCAAAAAAAGTTCGATAATTATTATCTGAACGTTCCACGTATTTTATTTGCTCAGAATTGATTCATGTGGTAAAAATGCAGATAATGCGTGTGGAGAGAAATAAACATATAGAGTTCACTGATTAATCCGTAAAAGAAATTGCGAATCAGTTCAATGTCGGAACTTTCCTTTGACGATAACAAGAACAAAATTGACGTCACTTGCCAAATAATTATGTCTTCTTTGTATCTATCTTGACACCCTGGTGCAAAGCAGCATACTGTTTAAGAATAATTTGTCCTTGCTAATTATAGACAGCCAAATCATTGTTCACGCCTGTAGCCGCAATAATTATTTTATTTGATTAAATTTTGCAAAAGGAGGTATCGTTTAAAAGTGAACGATATAAGAAAGAGGAAAGTAAAAATAAGAAAATAACAAGTTCTTAGAGAATTACGTCCATTTAATACCGAATATCATTTAATATCCATATAATGCGTATCAATTGCTGCGATTTTTAACCGAAGATACGAATTTTGCTTACTGTGAAAAATTACACGTTCGATATTTGTTCTGGAATTCCACGGTGTGCTCGTTGCGCCCGTTTTATTTACTCAGCATGGGACGCCACGCAATCAACGCTTTTCTGTCGGCGCAAAATAGCACACGTCGACTAATACTTTTATCACGCGGTTGGACACGCATCTGTGTGTATGTGTGTATGTCTGCATGTGTGAAGAAAATAGCATGAACCACAATGCGGAGTGTATCACTCGCGATAACAGTCATACACTCATACCCGCGTATCGCAAATTTGTTTGCCGTTAGTCTGACAGGTCATGCTCCGATCCGATCATGATGCAAGCGAGTAACTAATAGGATCATATCCCATTTTAGGTGTTACGTAACACGTCTCTCACATCGGTCTCGCGCTTCCGTTATCACGGGTGACGTGAAATATTATCAACGGGAATCGCGCATGAAAAGTTCTCGAGTTTCAGAATCGCGCATGAATCTGTGCCGCGTGCCGGTACAGTTTCCGGGACATTCCGAAGCACTTTTATGGAGTTTCACCTGTGCGAGAGACACGAGGATAAAACCGCAGCCTCGTTGCAAACCCGGTAATCTTATTAATGCGATGCAAATTAATGCAAAACGCAGTTTTTATAAGACAACATTATTTTATCGACAAAACATAGCGTAATTTTCTTTCTCGCGGATTTTACTTCACATTCATTCTGCTGTTTATCTTCGCTTCGTTATTAGGCACTTCTGAAACTCAAACAGCCACGTGAAAGCGAAGTGATCGGTTGGTAATTCTATTGCGTGACGCCGATGTCACGGAAGAATATCGGTCGAAATGATAGGGAAGAAAAAAGTATTGGCATCGTCGGACAAACTGATTGCTAATTACGATTTCTTTCCTCTTTCGATCGCATCCGTCGCGTGAAAGCGCCTAAGAAAGCGGAAACCGATTCCAAGCTTTTGTCTCATACTGAAAACGGAAATCTGACTTGATATTTATGTATAAACGCGCGTGACTTGCGATCGAAACTAACTTCATCGGCGCTAAGAGACGGGTCATTACACTTCAATTATCACGAACGAATTCATCTTCGCGTGTCTCAAGCGCACGTGCACGTTGAAAACCGATCTCAGCTCGTGAAGAGTAATTGCTACTCGAACCCGCGTCTGAAGAAATCCTCCTCGGTGCAATTCATTGAATAATCATCGAAGTTTCACAACAATCACTCGTATATATACCCCGCTTTTACTTCTCTTCGTAGGAGAGGAAGTGAACAGCGAACTTGGAAATCTATAAAAAGTTGTAGATCTCGACGCGTGCGAACCGTCGTGCCAGCCTTGTGTTTAATCGCCACTTTGTATTACGGAAATCGTGCCACTCGCGGGTATACACACATGTGTGCAACACACTCGCCTCTCGGAATCGTCTCTCTGCTTTGCGAGCGAGCGAACGGCACGTTGAGAGCGAGTTCTTTCCTCATCTCATTTTCCATTGCTTTTCTCTTTCCAACGGTTGCATATCGCAATCGTTGCGACACGCAATTCCCGTGCTCATTATCACCCCAGTTGATTTCTTTCGAACGACCGCCCGTTCTTGCACTTCCGCGTTTCCGCCGCGAAAAAAAACCCTTTCTCCCGCGTGTGTTTTCGTATTCCTATCTCACTCGATGACCTGCTTTCTGGTTTCACGACTTGCAGTCTCATGTGCGCGAGACAAGTTTAATAAATTATTTGTTTATAAATACGTCCGGGGGGCCACGTACGGGACCCCCGTTGGTCCACCGGTGTTAAACTTTCCAATCAGGTTTGATGTTTTGAGTGTAAGTAGATACATTATCATAAGATATTTCGTAATATCATTGATTGATACATTACATGTACAATTAACATGTATAGAGTAATAATTATCACGTCGCCGCGTCGCGTACCATCGATGGCCTGAATGAAAAGTCGTGCAAAAACACGGAAAAGAAATTAGCTACCGTAGCGAATCTAGTCGTAAAATATGGACAACTAACATTTTTTTACAAAAGGTTTTACAAAAAGTAACAAAGTTTTGCTACTATTGCTAAAAATATAGCTCTCGCAGCAAAAAAAAGTTGGTTGTGCATATTTTACGACTTTTTTTTCCGTGAAAGACACGTCACAGAACACATATTAAACAATGGGAAATAATGTAATTTTATGTGTTTATCTTGAGAATTTATAATGTCTCGACGCTGGAAGAACGAGAGAACTGCAAAAAAACTATATGTAAATAATTTATTCCATTTTTTCATTTAATGATAAAAGCCTTTTAATAATATAAATGAATTATCCGCTTTTGCATGCTTATCGCATGCAGCGTGCGATAACAAATGAATTTTTTTGCTGTTAACAGAGTTATACATGAGATGGATGTTTGCCATTTCATTTGAACAATAGGTTGACGTTATTAGCGCAGTACTCTTGAAAATGTGAAATCAGAAAATTGATAGTCATTCCGCACACACCTGCGTTGCATTATTTGTATATGTGTCCGATATAACGAATGACTGAAATTTGCGTATTAATGCGAGAGATGACAAGTAATATTTTTCAAATTGTGAAATTAGCAAATTGATAGCCATTTCATACATGGTGTCTTACTGAACTTTTCGATATGAATGACTATATTATTCCGATAGATACAATGAAAGAATCTACGGAAAGGGTGATTGGCAAGCGTCAATTGCGCTTCCGCGAGTTCCGCTCTATGGGATCGTTAAAAAATACATTTAAGCAATTGGTGGAATGTTTACGATTGGACGAACTTCGTTCCGCCAATTGCGCAGTTCCGTACCATGGGATCGCACCATTAGACGATAAGGTAATCTCTTATTTACACACTTCTGCTGCCAAGAAATAATTGAAATACTCTATTCTAATTGTATCAAAATGTAACGAAATGACGAGAAGATAAAAGTATCGGTATGAATAACTGTCAACAGCGAAAAAATTTATTTGTTTACACGCTGCATGCGATAGACAAAAGCAGATAATTCATTTATATTGTTAAAAGGTTTTTATCATTAAATAAAAAAATGGGATAAATTATTTACATGTAGTTTTTTGCAATTATAAAGTATACTCGATAATATGCGCTACAAGTAATTTGTCCGGATTGACATCGTCAAAATTTGACAGCAACATTTTTCGATAATCTGTGAGTACACTTGAACGGATGACACACAACAAAAACATAAACGTCTAATAAATATGGATAGCTTCTAGGCACTCTGGTCGATCTTACCAAGTGGCCGTGAACTCTAAACGTGCAAATCGATTTGCGGGGGGAACGTGCGTGTTCAACTTTTTTAGCAAATTATAGATAATACGACACAAAAAAATACTAAAAGCGACATCAATTTCTAATATAATCAGACACCAGTATTTATTTCGACAACAAAAATCAGATTTCGTCAAAATTTAATATTTACATTGATTACTGCGTTTCTTGCGTTACCTCAAGTGACTCTTATATAACTTTGCAATCTTTCGAACGCCTCGCTTGGTCGAACAAAAAATTGAAAAAAGATAAATTGCATCATATTTTTTCCAAGTATTACATCAGCATATAAATATTACATCAATGTAAATATTTCTGAAGAATTATGGAACGTGATATTTTAAAACATAATTTATTATTTAAGTTTCGATTATTTTATTTCACGTAGATATCAAAATCAGCATATTGCTGTAGGATGCGAAATAGATAAATAAAACCGGGACAGGATTCTCGAGTGTTTTATCGACGCGCATATCGAAAATCGCAATAACTACCGTAACGAGAAACCATCGTTGTAAAAAGAGCAGACTTCTCTTTGGCATTCGCGAAGGCATATAGTTTACCCTACTTTTCCCTATCGCGCCTAATTCGCGCGATGACTTCGCGGCCGCGACGCGAACACGACGATATATTAACACGTTTCTCTTTGCGTTTACAATGAATTGTCACGTGTATTGATTGCGACTGCATGTAGGACTTTACACCAACTCATTGCCGGAGAAAAGAATTCTGTTGTAACTCGCGCAAAATTCGCGCGTGAGAGTTTAGAATAGGCCTACTCTCTTCTTCCGCTGTAATTTCAGTCACGAAGAAATGTCGGTTGAATAGAAAGCAAGGTAAAACAAAAATTGACCGTAGAAATATTCGCGGCTTATTGGGCGAATAAAGTTCAGGTGGCAGCAGTAAAATTGTAGCGTTAAGAAACCACCAGTTTTAAGTATCTCGAGGCCAGTAAATTATCCGGGGTAATCCAGTAAGTTGCCGAGAAGCCTGGTGAATAAGCCAGCCGCGTTGTAACCAAGAATATATTTCAGCGCATAAGAATGTCTTTCACTTTCATTCGCGGCAAATTCGCGTGCCGCGGACTTCCTGATTTCTTTTTAATCTTATTTCAACGAATTTAAAATCGTATTTTTTTTATATAAAAAAATATGTTTTCAGATATAAAAATACAGTGAATATTTTTCTGTACGAGTAAGAAGCGACTTTTTCGCGAGTCGGTTTTACTCTGCGCAATCGATATTGTGTTACCGCATTCTATTGATCTATTGTCACGCAACTTTGTGTATTTCTTTCATTAAAATGCAATAGTCATATACAGCCAGTGTAGGTTCCTGCGCTATTGAATTAATAGTCACCGAACTATGCTACAAGGCTACAACTACCGTTCGTTCTTTGCCAACTGTAATCGCATACGTGATTACGACAATAATTAGATGCTATTGCGATTTACGAACAGCGGTGAAAGGTCCGGCAAAGGAGAAAGATTTGAAAGGCTTTGGTTTCGAAAAAATTATATCTTCTTTTGACGAGACGTTATCCTAAAGATATTATCGGCGTTTGCTTCGAATAAAAAATAATTATTACTACATCTAGCAGCTTCGTTTTCTTTATATAGCAGAATAACTTTTCTTGCCAGTGACTGCGAATCTTAACGCTGATTCATGGTTCCGTACAAAATCAGCACCAGATCGATAATACTGGCATATATATTTCTTCGTGCAACGTAGTAATGAAAGGTTTTTTCGTGAACTTGTTTCATTCAACGCTCTATCGTGTGCTCCACTAATCAACGCTGCAACTTCTTACTATATTCTCTATAAATGAATTCAACGATGCGGTACATTTTCTCCCATTTGGGTTGCCTGAGCGCCAAGTGAAATGCGTAATAAACGTACAAGTTTATTTTTAATATTTTTCTGTTTTTAAAGAATTTTGATAAATTAAAAAATAAAATGTGTCTTAAAGCAAAACAAAATTGCAACTTCGAAAAATGACATCTTATATAATTTATGTTGTGTTATAATAATGGTTTTTTCACGTCTAATAAATTAAGCAATTTTTTTAAGCTGGCATAAAATTATTTTTAACGCAAAAACGTTTAATCTATATTCGAAAATAGCTTATGACAAAAGTGCTATCGATTAAGTAATCTTGTTCCAACGCATAAATTTAAAATAAAGATATTTAAATATTTGCCTATTTAAGTATTGTAACTTGCGATTTTATCGCGATAATTAATGGTAACAGATTTTCAAGCATACGTCGTTCGTATTTGACAATCTTTATTGGCGTATTTGATAACCGTTACACCATCGTAATTACAAGGTAATAAAAAGTCGACTCGAGTGAAATTTATACATCAGTTATTCAGAGTTTATCCAAAGTTAATGGAATACCGTAAAGAAAGTTCGCAAATAAAGACGGAATTTTAGCTCTCATCGGTCATCATTTGTCTTAAGTGGGACGTGTTGGACGCAATATTTCCAAAATTTACTGGCGGCATCTTAAAGATCCCAATTTTTTAATCTCATATTTCTCTTATTCTTGATATTTCTTATTTATTTTTTGCGAAATTTTTTTACTGCAGTATTCCCTTGAAATTTCAAATACTTTCGATATCGACTATAGCACAAGAGAATGACACAAGCGAAATAATAGCATAATAAGACTAAACGCTAACTGTGCCATTTTGAAAATTAAGGATAATTTTTCGAAAAACACGAGCAAAAGTTATCATAGTCTGTTATCATAGTCCTTGGTCTGTTTTAGATACAAGCCAACAAGGTTGTGGGGTTTCAGCGGCCATGTACAAACTATCGTCCACAGCGTTATAGGACGTGTTCGATGTCCTTGGCCCATTGGAGAACGCGTATATATCGGTCTTCCGGATGGGACCACCCTTACGTACGATCTTTATCAACCGCTGACTAATGGACACGAAGGTATTGTTCATAGATTAATCACACAGATTATAATAATTTTTTAGCGATTGGTTTATATTAATTTTTTTTTAAAAAACGCTCTAAACATCTTTAATAATATATATGTATATATATATTTTTTTTTAATTTAAGATGCTTGATAGTACAAATAACTTTTATTCCAGACGACATAACGATAGCCATCTGTCCTGGTATCGGTAACAGCTCGGAAAGCGTGTATATCAGGACGTTCGTGCACTTCGTGCAATGTCATGGATATCGGTGCGCAGTACTTAATCACGTCGGGGCCCTTTCTAGTGTCAAGATCACGGCACCAAGAATATTCTCTTATGGTACGTGTAGCAATCGATAAAACTTGTACCGCTGGGGCGAGGCGGTCGATCGGAGGAAAGTTTGCGAATAATAACTAAGTTCCTACATCGCGCGAGTATGTTCTCACCGCGAGAACGTTGAGCAAACTATATAGCTATGGGAAAAAAACCATTCTGATATACTGAATAGCTTCGTAAAACTTTCTGGGTTACGCTGTTACATGTCTTGCAAGTCGTATCCATAAATGATTAATGGTCAACATGATCGATAAGGAAACTTTCCAACAGAAATGACGAAGAAAGTGTAATCAAAATCACACATTTATTTGAGCAGTCTGCCATCTTTTTGTTTAGATGAATATTTTTTTAATACAAATTTTATACATATGTTTCACAAAACTTGCTTCTTTTAGATGAGATAAACTTTACAATGTACATTTTATAAACAGGTCACACGGACGATTATAGCGCGATGCTACAACATCTGGTAGAACAGCACCCTAACACCAGAATAGTTTGTATCGGATATAGTTTGGGCGGTAATTTAGTAACAAAATATTTGGGAGAGCGCGGTTCCAATAAATTGCCTAATATTATAGGAGGGATATCAATTTGTCAAGGATACAATGCTCTCAAGTAAGCTTTCAATCAGATTTCTTTGATTAATAATTAAAATGGATCAATAAAGAGAAATATTATTCACTGCACGTGTTTTTCAGGGGAACAAAGATTCTGTTAAATTGGCAGAACTTTAGACGCTTTTACCTCTATGTAATGACAGAATCGATGAAGAATCTTATTCTTAAGCACAAAAATATGCTTTTGTCTGAGGATGTAAAACAAAGGTGTAATCTGAATGAACGGGACATAATTTCTGCTGCAACGTTACCCGAACTGGACGAAGCTTATACGAGAAGGGTAAGTTTAATCTTTTTAAACGTATATTATATTATATAATTTAAATAATAGATCCGAATTTTATGAAGTGTTTTGTTGTTTAGGTACACAACTTTAGGACTGTGCAAGAGTTGTACAAGTGGAGTAGTTGCGTCTTTTATCTAGACAATATCACAACGCCGATGGTATTCATCAACGCATTAGACGACCCCATCGTGCCAGAGGTGTTGCTAAAACCAATCAAAGAACATGCGGGTATCTATCAATATCTAAATAGGAATTTTGCGTATAAATAAAAATAAGTAAAAATGTACTAATGTCTCTCGTATCTTCTAATTTTAGCAAATAACTTAAACACGTTATATGTGGAAATAGCTCATGGAGGTCACCTAGGTTTTTACGAAGGAGGTTTTTTGTATCCAAATCCTATAACATGGCTGGATCGAACCCTCGTGTCCCTCGTAGGGTCTCTGACTTTGGCGCACGCGGACAAGGCTCTCAAAGCCTCTTAACCCAATTTAATTCGGTCAATGTATTGATATTATCGGACGTTGATCGACAACGTGTCACACATATTCTGATCTTGTGGGATCAAGCACCGTGCACATGATCCACGTTTAGATAATTGGGATGATCTATAACGAGGCTACAACAAGACTGCAATGAAAATGGAAATGGCAGATTGTAAACTAATAAAAGTGTCTGGTACATGCTTTGATAATTTCACGAAGTGAAGTAGGCAGGATTTTTCACAAACGATACAGAGGAAATAAGTGATAAGCGCGACTGTAAGATAACAAACGTTTGCTCACTGACATTTTCGAAATTGAGTATAGGTCCGGAACGTTAGCCAAATTGCGCGACTCTTTATATCTAGTTATAATTAGTAGAATTTTTATTAAACAATGTGGCACAATCAAAATTAGACAGCATAATTATTTGAAAAAGGAAGTAGAAACGAAATGAATTTTCAATATTTTACTAAATACTAACGCTTCTTTCTCAGGGATCTTCTATAGAGCGACGATTTGATGGCGGGATTTTCAATAGTCCTTAACAGGTTACTAGAACTGTTCACTGTACAAGCGTTTAATCATGATACACATTGGATGTGAGTTCAATGCAATACAGTGTATCTTGTGTACTTTTCACCAAGGAAAAAAAACTTGTGTATTTATGTACAATATGTGTATTGATATAGGATGTATGTTGACTTAAAAGATATTTATAAGTGCGTCTCAAATGTGTCCATTCTAAGATTATTAGCTTTATCGATATGGAAGGAGTTTGTCACTGTTGTACATACGCAATAAACAATGTACGTTATTTATTAATCCGGAATTGATGACGTTAGATTTTCAAGGAAATCTATTAAATCAAATTCAGTGTTCAAGTCTAAACTGTCTGAAATTCAGTGTTCAAGTGTGAAATTATAGTATACTTGAAAGTGTACTTGAATGTATACACGAAAATTTTGTAAATAATACATTTTTTAGCTAGAATTATAACAAATTACTACGAAAGACACTAAATTACGCTAAAAACACTAATTTCATAAATTTGATATTATTACCACCAGATTAATGCAGATAATTAGTTTGCATTGCGCAAATTTGTTTATATATCGAATCGGAGATATCTTCGACATAGTCAAAATTGTATTTGTATTCGATATTATGTTATAAGAGACATATATTATTTAGCGCAAACACATTAAGCATTGTGAGATATATCACGCGTTGAATTATTTGTGGTACCAGAATGTTCTTTAATTATCCGATTTAATGTATTCTTATTACATACTATGATGCAATGATAAATGTACGATGTTGTACCTATTATATTCCATATATTACGTTTGAAATATCTTGTTCGTCCAGTAAGTTTATTAAATTTTAATCTAAAATGTGGAATATAACAGGTTAATGCTACATCGAGCGATATATCGTACATATATCGTCGTGATAAAAAATACCAAATACTTTTTTATTCATCTCAATGCGTCCATATTGATAAAGTTGATACGCAACATGCAATAATTTCTGACATCAGATGATATATTTTAATCGATAAGTTTATTAATTACCATACATCTGTATCGATGGTATGGTTTAACTAATATTTATTTCCTATTGTAGCGATTTAATGATAATAAGTTCTTAAACGGTACTAATGATTGCGGGCAATTCTATGTCAAATTAGGCAGCAAAGAAGCGAGTATTTCGATTCTTTCTGAATATTTTTACACTTGTATATAATATATTTATGTAAAACTTCAATGCCATTATGATGACGCTTTTTGAGACATCGAATTTTTCACTGATGCGAATTTTGATATTACGATGTCTTTAAAACGCTCAAATTTCTAAAGATAAAAAATGATAAAAGTTGAAAAAAGATTCAACGACCAACCAGTCAATTTAAAATTTATTATTATATTGTACAATTGAATAGATTTTTAAATAACGTTTCTATTTGAATACATTTTCTTGAGATAATAATTCTTTCTTCAAAAGTTATTTTATAAAATTAAAAGTACAATAATATTTCTTGATTTACATCTTTAAAATAAAACTAGATAAAAATTATCACCTCTGAAAATCTTTTTTCAAAATGTAAAAGAAAGATGTAATTCATTATAATGTGAATCTGATGCTAAGAAATAAGAAACAGTATTACAGTACACAGTATACAGTATATCTAAGTCACGAGGTTTTTTACCTCTTAGCGAGATCAAGAGAATATGATTAATTTAAATGAATTTTTATGTACTTTTTTTTTATTTCTTAAAACTTTTCTAAATTTCTGTTTTTCATATTTTGATTTTTATTATAGCATGTTTTCTTCTCTCTCACTCTCTGTTCATTACAAATATATCTTAAATAAATTTTGATATGTAAAAGTACAAGTTTTATTCAGTTTAAATATATGTTAAAATCCAAATTATTCTACTTTTCATGGAATTATTTTATCCTATAAATTGTTTTTGGAAATGGTTCTTCTGTAGATATGTTTTTGGTGAAATACATGCATGCAAAAGAATGCGTTAATATTTTATTTATTTTTCTTCAAAACTAATTTTCTTTATTTATCTATTGTATTGTATATTTTTCTCCTACGAACTTTTTTTTTTTTTACTAGAGACTGAAAAATACCGAAATTTAACCAAAAATGCAACATTTAGATAATAATTCTATTTCAAGTATTTTTTTTTTTTTTTTTTTAAAGAAAAAGAAATGAAAAAGAACTCTGTCAAAGAACTCCTCTATCAAATTCTAACAAAATTGAATCCTTTTCAAACGTTATCTTAATGCATAAAGACAAACATTATCTTAATGCACAAAAAGGCAAACGTTATCTTAATGCACACAGGCCTATGAGTAGCACGCGACGCGTGCGTAATAGGCCACTTTCCACGCACTTGCAACATAAAATAGGGTATGCAACACGTGCGTGAGGTTGAAAATTCCCGGGTGCGGTGACCGCACTCGCCTTCGGCTCGTGCGTCAACTCCGCACCCGTGAATTTTCATCTTCCAGCACTTGTTGCACAAATAACTAATGTAAAACAATCAGAGTAATTTCCTTTATATTATGTATAATAAGTGCAAAACCACGTGATTTGTTTTTTATTATATTAACATTATCTGATATGCGAATATTATTGCATACAATATCTAATTTTATTTATTCTCAAAAATTCCTAGAGGTATACTTTTTAATTCTTTATTTCGGACTTTTTTTGGAAATTAGAAAGTGTAAAAAATTTTTTAAATTTGCATAATCTTGAAAATTCAATTTTTTGAATACCACCATGATTACGGCATTGAAACTTTACTATAATATAATATAATATACTATAATATATATTATAGTATAAAAGATTTTGAAATGCAGAAAATTCTGGTTTGTATTTGTTGTCCGATTTGACGTGGATTTTATCTACGTATAATTTCTCGACAGCGGAATAAATCTGATCACAGTTTTTTACTTACACAAAAAGCGATGATCGAGTACATGATCGAGTTAAGTAATTTCATAGATTCAGAGTAAGGATTTATTTTTGTGGTGATTTATGCCGAAAAATTCCGGTCTACAATATTGGGCTAATGCAAGCATTTATATCCAGCATGGCTAATTAAATATTCGAGTGCTTTCTAATCACATGAAAGCAATTTTCGTAAACACGTTAAACTATAAAGCATTGATTAACGTCAGACACATTTGTAAGTCTTATTTGTACAATTTTTCAAAAAACGAAAGACAATAAGACCTAAAATATACACAAATAAAATTAAATTTTTTTTCACTTTTTAATTTATTTTTTGTCTTTAGGTACATAATACACATATTTATTTTTTATTGTTATAAATATGAAGTGTTTTTTTAATCTGATCACAATCTTCTTTTTATGAACATTTTCCAATGGATCTTTATACTAAATTAATCAACACACATTGATGATATCATATTCATTACCTAAGATCCAAAATCAGCGAAATCGACATATATTGTTAAGCACAGACATTACAATTATGTTATGAATTAAATCACGTAAAGAATCTAGCCCGTGTATTTCGAAACAAATAAACAATTTAAGGTCAATAATGAGCAATGCAAGAGATGTCACAATTAAACAGTTTAATCTTTCATGAATACAAGATAACGTAGGGACGTTTCGAAACTCCACAGAGTCTTTCTCATATATGAAAAATAATAAAATAAAAGCGCTAAGATGTTTGTCTATCAAACGTCGATGGCAAACCACAAAGTCAAAAGGAGTCACATCATGCATGAAACTAGTAAACCTTTAACGATAAGTAGATCAGACGTTAAAAGATTAATTTAATTTTAATTTACTGTATCCTTTGAATTGGTTAAGGAAGACTCTGTGGAGTTCGAAACGTTCTTACGTTATTTTGTATTCATGAGAGATTAAACTGTTTATTAATTTTGAAATCTTTTGCATTGCTCGTTGTTAATCAGCCTTGAATTTTTCATGTGTATAAATATTTGAAACATGTTGTTGACATATGTTACGATACATTGAATAATTTTGGATATCCAAAAAGAAAAAAAAATGCAAATTGTACTAAAATTGATACGTACAGAAATAAGAGTTATTCTACACCAAGCAATGACGCTTTTACGTATAATTTCATCAGTATATCTTTACAGCTGGACTGATAAACGTAATTTAAGATAATTACATTAATCGACATTACGAAGCTAAACAATTCCTCACTTTGACCAATTCCTTTCTATGTACGATACGAATTGCATTTAGGAGCGAATGACGAACATGTGCATTTTTGTAACTAACATATTCAATATGATAATTTTATATGACGGAATGTGTATCCTGGTGTAGCACCTACATGTGACTGTATGTGAAACTATATATTACATGTACATATATCTGTATACGAAAGTAGCAAATAGAGAGAAGACATATTTGCTACAAGATTTCAATCGAAGTGCGCATGGAATGGTCTTATTGAGAAGAAATTTTGTTATCTACTATTTAATATCAGTTGTATGCAATCGTGTATGCAATCACATGCGATTTATACCAAATATCGTAAAATCATCGATGCGATGCGCAATTACAGGCATTATTAAATCGAATATCATTCGAATGTCATCTTTTATCGAAAGTTTTTAATGCGTAAAATTACACAAAGAAAATAATCTTTATAACATGATACACAATTACATTAATAAAAAATATTCACCAGAAATGAATGCTTTTATAGATAAATAAAATAAATGTGCGATATTGCATCTTGATTTTAATTTCGACAAAAAGACTGATGTAATCGAGAAAATTTAGTATAATATATATATTATATTAGGAAATTTATTCAATTATCTTGATTAATCATATATAATAAACATAAGAGATATACATATGTACATATCAATTACATATAATTGATATACATATGTATGTATATATATATCAATTATGTTTATTATATAATATTAATTAAGATAATTGAATCAATTTTCTAGCAACAATTTACATCTCATAAGAACATTTAAATTATCATGCACTTAATTGCACTTCATAAGTATATAACGATCTAATATCTGCTGCGTTTTTTACGTAAGATTATAAAATTTTGTTAATTACACAAGAGGACGAATGATATTTTTGAACAATCCAATGAGAGACCAAGTTTGAGCTGAGGCCATCATGTTTTCGAGGTGTGGCACAATGATATCTCTTTAAGTCACGTCTATTTTGTAAACGGCATCCAAATGGAGGCAGAAAATTATGAATGTAATGACTTTTATATATACGTAACTCGGAAGTGTCCCACTCGAGATGTTACGTAGAGATAAATCTCGTTAAGTTACATACATGAATGTAGACTATTTTGTATAACGATATAAATGTGTTGTGTGATATAACGGAGTTTTTTTATACCGTCGCCGTCGTTTCCCTTCTGCGTTTATAATGTTTATATAATTACGTTCATTAACATATGTATTAATTCGTTGTGACATTTCAATGACAACCATGCAGTGCCGCTCTAATTCGCGATATAATCAACTGTGATGTTTTCATGTTATAGCAAAAAGTCTAAAGAAATATTATTTTTGGGAAAAAATATATTTTAAAAAAGGAAAATTATATATATATTTTAAAGAAAATTTATATATTAAATTCAGCTAACATGTGAAAAATAAATCACTTGATGAATATAATGCATAACATTAGAGAAAAGTAAGAATTGCTGATTTATAGTCAAATATTTCAATGTAGATTTTATTAGAAATATTCTTCCAATCAGAATACCTGGATACGATTTCTAACGAGATCTAATATCAGGAATGTGAGAGAATATACCTAATTT